AAACAAAAGTTAAAAGAATAATAATAAGAGAGGTGGGTTACCGGGACAGCCACAAGGTCGAACACCTGGTCTGCACATGCTGCAATGGGCTTGTCTGCGATGATGCGCGTCCCATAGGAAGCCTCGATCTCGAGGCCGTCCTCCACAGAGGCCAGTGTTACGTCAGCGCCTGCTCGCCTGAGGACGCCGGCCAGGATGACTGCCTCCATTTCCTCCGTGCCCATGGCAATGGGCACAAGAACCTTCACAGTACGAAGCAGAAATTCAGGTTCTTGACGCTGTCAAAGAGAAATGTAACGAGTGGAGTGGAGAGGAGACCTTCTTGGGAGATGGCGGCAACGAGACGGCCGTTGCGGCGGTGGAAGAAGAAGGAGCCGCTCGCGCAATGGAGCGTAATGGCAATGTCCGCCTGTGAGGCGGGGCGTAGTGAGTTGGTGCATGCGGCGGCGGTCGAATCGGCATGGCAATAAGGGAGCTCGGGGAGAGAAGGGGTTTAGACGCGGACAGCATTGGAATTTGGAGTTCGGAGACAAGCAAAATCCAGCCAATAAATATGCAGCCCTTCTGCCGTAAAGCGCACGTGAACCGATATAAGCCACAGCGCCCTCGCGGCCTCGCCCTCCAACTGACTGCAAAATGGAGACAAAGTGCGGATTTAGCTACACTTTTTAGATATACAAACTGCAATATGATATCTTCCAGTTCAGATTTGATAACTAAAGGTCCGTGGTTTGAGCTTGAAAAAAAATGTTATTGTCTTACAGTATTTCTTTTATTCATCTTGGCTTCCTGTAAATTATATTGAAACAAAATTACTAAATTGGTTTCCACATTTACAAAACTGCAGAATTATTACAAGACTACGGGCAACGAGAATTAATTAAAGATCATGCTTCAATCTATCAAGCATTAATAATGCCGAGGGCCACGGCCACATTTCCTGTAGAACCTTAAGCTCGAGTTGAGAGGTTGAGATGGCTAGATGGGGGATACCTTTGGCTGAGGCGGAACGCCAGACGTCGGGGTCGAGGTCAGGCTGGACGAACGCGGTCACCGGCGCGCCGCCTCGTCGGTCAGCCGGACGGGGCAGCAGCCTGCAGATCAGCAAGGGGAGCAGCCAGGAAGGAGATGGGAGAGGAGGACTGCTCGCTGCTGCACGGGGCTCGCCGGATGGGCAGGGGCGCAGGGCGAACGAGACACCGGACAGACACGCGGCACGGCGGCCGGGCGGCGAGCGGCGGCTTTTTTTTTTTAGGGTCGGCTGGATAAGGTTCGACGGGCACGGGACGACTCCTTTCTTTCTTCTCGTCAAAAACTCAAATGTTCGCTCTTTGTTATATGGCTGACTGGCCCAGGCCCAGCAAATGGGGGTCGAGAGAGTGGGCTGCGCCCCGTGCTACCTTTTTTTTTCTAGGCTCAGGAATTTTCCCGAAATCACTAGCTAAGCTAAGGAGTACTCGCTCCAAAGATCACTCCCATCTCCTCAGGTTACGACAAATGGCACGCTGCATGTGCTCCATTTGTCGCAACATGAGAGTTTTTCCTTTTTTCGTAGATTCGTTTATTCAAAATATTTTATCTCTTAAACCGTGCGTCCAAATTTCGAACCGTTTTCACTGTTCGATTCCTCGCGTCAAGATCTTCAAAACTAGATCCCATGTTGGTAGGTATTGACGAACTTTTTTTTCACGAAAAAAAACGGACAAAAAAACCGAACCGAGATCTCGATCCGTTTTTACCGTCCGATTCCTCGCGTCGAGATCTTCAAAACTAGATCCCATGTTGATAGGTATTGATGAACTATTTTTCACGAAAAAAACCGACAAAAAAACGAACCAAGAGCATTGGTTTTTTCCCTTTTCGAAAAAGGCATATGCCCGTGCCTCTCGCGAAACCACAACCGTGACTCATGCGGAAGCAAAACCGTGCTTCTCGCAAAAGAAAAAAAAAGAGAAAATGTGTTTTTTTCTATTTCTGAAGAGGCACGGCTGTGCCTCTCGCGAAAGCACAACTATGCCTCCCACGGAAGCAAACCCGTGCCTCTCGCGAAAGAAAAAGCGTTTTTTTCCGTTTCCGAGAGGCGCAAACCGTGCCTCTCGCGAAAGGAAAAAAAACAGAAAACGCGTTTTTTTTCGTTTCCGAGAGGCACGGCCGTGCTTTTCGCGAAAGCACAATCGTGCCTCTTTCGGAAGCAAAACCGTGCCTCTAGCGGAAGTAAAAACATGTTTTTCCCGTTTCCGAGATGCACGGTCGTGACTCTCGCGAAAGCAAAACCGTGCCTCTCGTAAAAGCAAAACCGTGACTCTTGCGAAAGAAAAAAAAAGAAAATGCGTCTTTCGCACGAAATTTGTTTTCAATTTTTTTGGGTCCAAAACTTAAGGAAGACCGGTGGAAAACCGAAACGTCAAAAAAAAAGTTTTAAAAAGCTGAAAATGCGTGCGAAAAAATAAAAATAAAATCGGGAGGGAGCGCCCAAAGCGCGACACATGGCGGAGTGGCTGAGAACGCGCCAAGTGACGCTGATCGTTGCGAGGCTCCCGAAGAAGCACTCGTTAACTCGTTGCTCTCGAATTTTCCCATGCCCCATGTCCTGCGTAAACCTGGTCAACTAGGTCGTACCTGGCAGGTGGGCCCGTTAGCACGCGTGCTCGGCCTATGACTGGCCGGCCCGACACATGGTTAACCAGGTCGTGTTTGGACCTGGAGGCTAGACATGCATGCCGGCCCAGCCCGTTTAGTTTTATTATTATTTGTTTTCAATTTCCATAGGCCAATAGGCTGAATAAAATAGGTGGGCTGACGATTAAACGTGCCGATGGGTCGCCCATGCATGGGCCAGGGCGGGAGGCCCGCGTGCCGGCCCGTCATGACCCGTGTAGTTAGTGTGCCTGGCAGGGCCGTGCCGAGCGGGTGTGCATGGCCCGTATAACTCAGGTCGGGCCTAGCTGACAAGCTCCAGGGTGAATTGGGCGCCAGCGCTCTGGCCAACGGCTGAATCGGCAAGAAAAACGGCGCGCAACAGCTGATCCGAACGGCGCGTCAGTAAGGCCTCCGGCAACGTGGTTAGGCGGCGGGGTCAGGGGTCGGCGAATGAGCGGCGGTGGGTGACTACCGAGGCAAAATCATCGATGATGGAGGAGGTTCTGCATGACAGTTGAGCGTTCGCATGTCTGTGGGCATTTTTGCTCGGGGAGGGCGCGTGACACAAACACCACATGATGTATTAAATTGAGAGCAAAATTTGAGTTTTTTTACATGTTTTTTGGGGATCTTTTCTTTACATCTATTTTCTATATTATGGAGGGATGTTTTTGTCCATTGTATAAAAAGAGGTACGGGATGCGAAAAGTCACTTTGGAGGACGGGCGCATTGGAGCCTTATATCTTTTTAATAGTGTCAAAATGCTATTTTTGAAGTTTTACAAAATTCTGAAGTATATTACACACGTGAAATTTTGATGCTGAAATAAGTCCATGTGAGTAACACAATTTTTTTAAAAGAACTTGAATTTTTGAGAGACGACCAGTGCATGTATTATTCACTGTTTGGAAATCATCATTTTGCCATTTTTTTTGTATAACTTACATGTTTACTTATTTCATAACCAAACTTTACACATACGTAATATACATTCATATGCGGGTAAGTTTTTTGGAAATTTTCGAAGCTTTAAGTGTGATTTTTAAAGTATTTAAAATAAGATCTTCCAATGTACTCCCTTCGTTCGAAAATACTTGTCTTCAAAATAGATAAAAGGGATGTATCTAGATAAATCCTCTAGCCTCGGGGTGTCGTCCTGTGGTTCAAAGAAGAAAAAGAGGCAGCGGCCGACCCCGCGACGCTAGCGCCGCCACTGTAGCCAGCCTCCGGTGACCCGCGCCGCCGCCTGGAGCAGCGCTCTACAGCCGTCCCAGGTACTCCCTCCTTCCTCCACCCCTCTCCTCTCTCCCCCTCCCTCCTTCCTCCCTCTTCCATCCCCTTCTTCCCTGTTCCAGCCGCGGCCATGGACCAGCCGTCCGTCCGGCGCCGCCGGCCGGCTATGCACCGGCCCTCCTTCCTCCACCCTACTCCCTACTCCCTATTTTCTCCTGCCTCCTTTATCCTCCCTCTTCCTGCATCGGCCCAGGATGTGCTCCCTCGCTGCAGGCCGTTCCTCCGGCGCCGCCGGCCAGATCTGGACAGGCAGTGACCTTCTTGTATGAATATATATGTTTGCAGTGCATGTTGTCTATGGAAAACATGATGACTACTTCCTATGTACTGCATATTGTGAGATTATGTTGCGTAATGGAGTTTGCTTGGTAGGTGTTTGTGAAAATGCGTGTATGAATTTTTTTGACATGGCCATTAGAAATGTGCAAGCGTACAGCTTAGGAGGCTTGTAAGATAATCTATTTCTTCCTGTTATTGTTATGTTGTTAATATCTTCCTGGTAAAATTGACATTGGTGACAACGCACATGGCCATTAGTAATCTGCTTTTAAGTATCCATCAGTAAAGAGAGACACCTGTTTGGATTATTTGAGAACCACAATCGGTACGGTACTAGGGTTGCTGTGTGCTCTTAGCAAGTTTGTTTCTTTACCACTGTGTAGGATTTGAAGTTCGTGGTCTCCCTCTTGGGCAGGAAAAATGGCCGAGCATCTCTTTGAGGACATCTTCAACGTGACCAGGATCGATCCTGATGGGAAGAAGTCGACAGAGGTAATTCGCTCTGGCAGTTTTACATGGTGAGTTTTAAGTTCTGTTAAGCGGAGCTTTGCTCTGTATGATCATGCTGCTCATGTATGCCTGTGAGTCAGTCTCTTGGAGCTGCTGCTAGCAATGGCTTAGTAACAAAATTCTTGCCTACCTGTTCACTGTCCACTATATATGGCAACTTTTAGACCCTGGACTGCTAACTTCATAGCTATGCTGCAGATGTTTACTGAACGAAATGTTTGCCTTTCCATATTGGTGTGCAGTTATTCGCATTGAGGCTAAAAGCGAGCAGTTGGAAATGTACATGCAATTAGATGTCGCTACTGATGTCTACCCAATGCATGTTGGTGACAAGTTCACCATGGTTTTAGCTCCTACACTGAATCTGGATGGGACTCCAGACACTGGCTTCTATACACAGGTAACATGACCTAATTCTTCTTACAAGTTGATCATGAAATATTTTGGCAACTGAATGATGTGAATGCGGCTCATTATGTGTGACAGTTGCTTAAATGTTGTTATTGCCTCACATGGACTTGCGTTCATGGAGGACGCATGTTTAGGGACTGATACTCAGGAAGCTCATGTTATTTCTTTCCTTCTTCCAGGCTGGTAGGAAAACACTTGCTGACAAGTATGACTATGTTATGCATGGAAAGCTTTACAAGATTTCAGAGGACATTTCCAGTGAAAAAGAAGCTACTAAAGTGTATGACTTCTCTGAACTCTAGATTAGTGATTTTGTATGGGTTTCTAATCTTGCAGGATTTGATTTATGCTATATATTTGAGTAATATATGATTTAATGTGAGATTGATTTCTTACCTTCATATAGCCGAGGAAGAATTTGCTCTATAACCATGTTGCTGAAGCTCTTTAGTTTGAGAGTAAATAATGATTCTCTGATTTGCCCTTCAGCTCCTTAATCCCGGCTTCTTAATGCATGTCCATATGATCCTGTGTGGGTGGGGCAGTGGTGTTGAGATTGCTTGATGCGTGTTTTGCTAAACAGCCTGGTGTATATACTCCCAAAGGAGATTGCTTCCTTTACGGAGGGAGTATTTTGTTTCATTGACCCATGTCTTCTGTTACTTCGTTCTTAGATGTTATTACTGCTAATAGAATGGAGCACTTTGTACACTGATAATAGATACTGCAGTTTTGCTAAAACACATCTAGATGTGGCTTAAGTAATGTTATTTTATTATGTTCCGAATCCCATACAAGTGTTGTACTACAGAAGGAGTCCTAGCGGACTACAGCATGCCAACCGTGCTAGACGTAGCATGACTACAACTCTGTTTCGTGTCCACCAAGAAAGAGAGTTGTTTGCCCCTTTATATAGTACCAGCTAGTCATAGAAAGATGAGAGAGAGATCTCCACCAGATTAGCACGTAGAGGGTTTGTCCTCTCGTGTAATGTAATACTCCTCCCAATTATAGTGATACGCCGCCGTGCATTTCGTGGTTTTCTCCCGTAAGGGTTTCCACGTAAAAATCTGTGTCTCTTTGTCTCGTTTATTTCTCGTTATTATCTAACAAGTAATGCACATCTAAGCTCTATATCATTGATTTTACGTGGAGATTCGTGCAGATAATTTTTTTTCCTTCCTAGTTTGGTTGAGTCACTTTAGAAATTTCCTTCCATAGGTTTATAGTTCATTGGTGTTGAGTATGCACCGTGGTCGTAACTCCTAACTATGAATGAAGTAGCAACTCTTATGGCACCTGGTTGCTCCTGCTCTTTGTGTGGAGAACTTTTTTTTTGCAGCAAACTTGTGTAGTTGGGTGTGATTTGACACACAACGAAGTTTGGTGGTTTCCGATTGTTACTACAGCACGGCCTCTGTTGAAGTTTTTGGCAAGCAATTCCTGGGCTGCTTGGAAGTGTTTGTTGGGGTCTTTCTTTCCTGCTGCTTCTGTGTCCAGGATTCGGTGCTATTTTGATCAGCATGTTGGAAGGCTCGTGTTGGCCAATGGAGTATTATTTTTCTGCAAGGCTGCTTTTTTTTGCGAGGGAAAAACTTGTATTACTCATTCAAAAAGTCCTTACAATCATATCACCAAAGTCTCCTCTGGACCAGCCCCTATCCAGGTCACTAATAGAAAAACCCCCATTCGTCCGGTTGGTTAGGGCCTTTTGTCCCGGTTCTTGAACCGGGACTAAAGGGTTGTTACTAATGCCCTAGACCTTTAGTCCCGGTTCTAACACGAACCGGGACAGATGGGCCTCCACGTGGCCGGTGCATCGAGCCCAGGCAGGAGGGCCTTTGGTCCCGGTTGGTGGCATCAACTAGGACCAAAAAGCATCCACGCGTCAGCATTTCAGGGGCTGGGGTTTTTGTTTTTTTTTGAAGGGGAGGGGGGGCGTTGGGGTTTTTGGGGGGTTAGTTTAGGTGTTTCATATATTGTGTTAGCTAGCTAATTAATAGAGATAAGTGTCCTCTCTTATGTCCGTGCTTGGTCGACGCTACGTACTATACATAGAGAGGCCCTCGACACGCTAGCTAGTAAGAAATGAAGGAAACCATTAAGTACAGAAGTTCGTCATGCATACCGAGAAAAGTGATCGATCGACCTCTCCTTCTCCGAGAGATTGGTCGAACAACAAGTTTTCGTATTATCTATCCGACGCTATTGGCTACATACATATACAATACGTAAGATCTCTTACAATCCCCTAGCATTTGAAATCAACTTCCATATGGTATTCTCCGACTTTATTGATGATGTGGTCAAGAAAGAATCCCGTCAATTCCTCTTGAATTGCTTTCATGCGATCTTGTGGTAGGAGTTCATTCCGCATCTGCCACGTCTAATTTGAAGAAGGGGGTTAGTACATATATATGAATGGAACTCAATAGAAATGATGGTGTAATAAAATGAAATTATGAATATTATTGCTTACGCACTTCATATTGTCTTTTACAGTAGCCCTGCTTATTTTTCAAAGTCGTGTTGTAGATGAACTCGCACACGTAGTATCCACAGTAATCATTTCCTTGTTCCTGCCACAAGTACTTTACGAGAAATAGAGGTCAATCAAACTGATAATGAAGCATTATAAATGGCATTGATGAAAGTATAGCTATAGAATCAATGGGAGATGCGCGCAACTAGCTAGCTAGTAGTACTTACTTTCGGGTATATATATCGCAGCTCCTTCGGCAGTCCCGGAGCTTCTACGGTGAACTGTTTTCAAACCCTGTAAGCCAAAGAAAATAATAATTATTACTTGAGATATCAGGAAATGAACAAAAAGTTGCCGATATGGTGCGATAATGATCGATTGAACTTACTTGTTGACCATTTTAGTCATGTCCGAATAGGTTTCGGGATCTTTTCGTCTTGAGTCTAAGACGGTTACTAGTCCCCGCTCAAGCTTAATCTCCAGAAGAACATAGTGGAAGCTGCGCACGCATGCATAACTCATCAATTACATTACTATAACCTCGCTCGAGTAATAAGGGAAATCGAATATGCACACGACAGTAACACTCACTCGAAGTTGTAAGGAAAGAGTATTAAATCTTTGTTTTGATTTTTTATCACGATTGTATCAAGTAGGCCTCGGCCTCTTCGGCGTTCTTTGTAACCAGAAATTCATCTATGATATTTGTGTTAATAAACCCAATATCATACATTTCTTGTTTTCTGCATTCGACGATCTTCAATCTGCATAATATAGTGAGGATAATTAATTATAAATGCATACAATGAAAGAGTTGAGCTATATATAGAGACTTAATGACAGAAATAGTACTTACAGACAATAGCAAAAGACCGTTAGTTTTGTTAGGGTTTGATCCCTAGTATCCATTATGTTCTGAGATTGATGTTGCTATGACTTTGCTATGCTTAATGCTTGTCACTAGGGCCTGAGTGCCATGATTTCAGATCTGAACCTATTATATTTTCATGAATATATGTGTGTTCTTGATCCTATCTTGGAAGTCTATAGTCACCTATTATGTGTTATGATCCGGCAACCCTGAAGTGACAATAATCGGGACCACTCCCGGTGATGACCATAGTTTGAGGAGTTCATGTATTCACTATGTGCTAATGCTTTGTTCCGGTTCTCTATTAAAAGGAGACCTTAATATCCCTTAGTTTTCAATAGGACCCCGCTGCCACGGGAGGGTAGGACAAAAGATGTCATGCAAGTTCTTTTCCATAAGCACGTATGACTATTTACGGAATACATGCCTACATTACATTGATGAACTGGAGCTAGTTCTGCGTCACCCTATGTTATGACTGTTACATGATGAACCACATCCGGCATAATTATCCATCATTGATCCGGTGCCTACGAGTTTTCTATATATTGGTTCTTGCTTATTTACTTTTCCGTTGCTATTGTTACAATCGCTATAAAAATACCAAAAACATTACTTTTGCTGTCTTTATTTTTGTTACCGTTACCATCATTATCATATTGCTTTGCTAGTAAACACTTTGCTGCAGATACTAAGTTTCCCGGTGTGGTTGAATTGACAACTCAGCTGCTAATACTTGAGAATATTCTTTGGGTCCCCTTGTGTCGAATCAATAAATTTGGGTTAAATACTCTACCCTCGAAAACTGTTGCGATCCCCTATACTTGTGGGTTATCAAGACCTTTTTCTAGCGCCATTGCCGGGGAGCATAGCTCTATTCTTTGAGTCACTTGGGGTTTATATCTGCTGGACACTATGAAGAACTTGAAAGACGCTAAGACAACTATTCATCCCTCAACTACGAGGGGAGGTAAGGAACTACCATCTAGCTTTGCACTTGATTCACCTTCTATTATAAACAAGCTAGCGACACCTAAACCTGCTTCTGCTATTCGTTCCAATATGTCGCATATTATTGATGATGCCACTTCTGCTATGCATGATACTTATGATAAAACTACTTCTATGCTTGATACTACTGTGCCTCTTGGTGAATTTCTATATGAACAAATTTCTAAGTCTAGAGAAAGAGAAATTATTGAAACTGAACACGACGATGTTAGTGATGATGAAAATAGGCCTGCTATTCCTAAGGGTTACCTTTTTAATGCTGAATCTACTGAAGCTATTCTTGCTTGCCAGGATAGTCTTGAACGTAATAGGTTGCTAGTTAAATGGAGTAAAGAATCTTTTAGAGGTAGGATGAGACCCGACCTTGCTTTTGCTACTTTACCTATCTGTGTTTCTGATCAGGATTATTATGATTTTTCTGGTGATCCAGATATAATTACTTTGGTTGAATCTGATCCTTTTTATGGCTATGAATCTGAAACTGTTGTGGCACATCTTCGTAAGTTAGATGATATAGCTGCCCTGTTTACTAATAATGAGAGATCGCGCTACCTTTATTTACTCAAAATATTTTTGTTCTCATTAAAGGGTGATGCTAAGATATGGTTTAATTCTTTTGATCCTGGTTGTGTGCAAAGTCCCTAGGATATGGTTTATTACTTCTCTGCTAAATATTTCCCTGCTCATAAGAAACAAGCTGCTTTGAGGGATATATATAATTTTGTGCAAATTGAAGAGGAGAGTCTCCCACAAGCTTGGGGGAGGCTTCTCAAGTTACTTAATGCTTTGCCTGATTATCCTCTTAAGAAACCTGAAATACTTGATATCTTTTATAATGGACTAATTGATGCTTCCAGAGATTACCTGGATAGTTGTGTTGGTTCTCTTTTCAGGGAAAGAACACCGGATGAAGCTGAAATTGTATTGAATAATATGTT